GCAGAGTGGGACCAGGTATTCATGTCGATGTGATGTAAACGTGTATTTCTGTATGATTAAAATCGGCCTCTGAAAATGTGTCAAGAGGAGTGACCAACCAAAGCTCGGCAGGCCTTGACGGAAACTGAGGACGGCGCATAATATATTGCGTAAATCTAAATGTCATAGTAGCATTAACCAGCCGCAATTCAAAAGGAATCAGCTCTTGACCTTACGATTGGCTCGATCTACCAATTTCTCTATCAGGTAACTTCACATGAAACGAAAGTTATGACAACTTTAAACAAACTGTGCTTACCCTATTTTGTTTAAGGTGATGAAGGACTGTAGTTAAGTTTTCACACAATCCGATTTGTGAGTCTAATTAATTTGTTTTGGGAAAATTCAACAACATTCACTGATCACCTTTAACAAAATAGGGCGAGCAGAGTTTGTATTCAAGATCTATTAGTAGTCTCGAAGCACTACTTAAAAGTGAAAATAACAAATAAGAAGAGTAACTGTGATCGCATTGATGGGAAGGCTTTCCTTTGGTATGAAAGTTGATAGAGAAGAGATTCGAAGGTCTATCCTGACTACGACGTTCAAGTTGACGCAGCCCATGAGACAGCCTCCCTCGTCTCGGGTGAAAACGGGCTGTGCTTTCGTCAATCATTCGATGGACATCCTCAGAGCTGGAACTAATTCTTGTAAAAGTCCCACGCTAGCACTAGGTCACGGTGAGCACAGTTTCTATTCAAGATCTACTTAAAATTGTAAATCACAACAAAATTCCCATTAAAATTGACCGATGAGGGCAGAAAGTTTGGTATGAACCATTATTGTTTCTTTGATAGAAGTCGTTGAATCTGCGAGGATTTTCGCCCTGTTCATATTCGCTATTCACATCTGCTGAGCCCATTCCCTAACCAGAGATCCGTTCGTATCTACACAGTTGTAGTCGTGTAGCTCCTGGGGTCATTAATTCTTGATGACGCTCTATAATGACTGACCTATTTGTAGCAGAATATACACACATTAGCACGTGGACACGCACACACGCACGCGCACACACATACACATACACAACACACAAACACACACAAGCTTATAATACTTGGTTAGGAAACAATAAAACTATGAGAGGCATTCATCATATTTCGTTTAAGGTGATAAACGGACTAATAGTTGAAGTTTCCCACCATCATAGTAGTGGACCTGACGGTTCCATTGTATTTCACATAGCCTTGCTTTCCCAAAAGGTATCCTCATCCAAGCAGGTGTGGACTACAGTTTCGACCCAGCACAGGTCACATCAACTCTCCCGACGGGACTGGAGTTCGAGTTGTGTTAGGGCAGCGTATAATCTCGCCACATGAACCACTACGCCGCACAGCTCTTGAGTCATAAGAAAGGTGTGAATTTGCACGAAGGCCAGGCATTTTCCCATACATTTTGCTAATTCAAGGCCATGGGAAATTCGGCTGGACTGTAAGGTCTACTCATACGATTGAGGAGGAAATTCAACTATCAGTCTCCTCACCACCTTAAACGATAGAGGGTGATTGCATCTCATAGTTATATGATCTATTGGTAGGTTTTAAGTCCTGTTTATGTAAGCGAACTAGGCTGTCTCTAGGGCTGTATCAATCTAAATGTCACGGCAATAATGAAGGACTACTGAGCAAGATGGATCCACCGTCTTCATGAGTCAAGCGATGTTAGCTCAGAAGACGAATCAAAACTCACCAGCACTGATGTATGATTTGTGTCGGTTTCGAATGCTCTGCCTGTGCTCACTGTGAATCTGCATTGAAGTGCAACCCAGTATGTATTCCAAAGGGATCGCCTCATCCAGACCTGTCTTCCGTCGTCTCAATCACACTTATGGCCAGATTCGGATAATCTGTGCTCGGATAAGGCAAAAAACCCATTTTCGCCAGTCATGTGAACTTCGAGAGTCCTATTTTGTCCTCAACGTGATGCTTGTCGTGCAGAACAACTGGCGCCTGGGTTCGACTGATTTGGGACTAAAGTGTCTGAATTTCATTGTGGGTCTTGATGAAACAACGTTGGAAAGTGCAATCCAGTTCGGATGAAAACGCCTCTTGGTCCGATTTTCTCTGTGAATTTCGAAGTAAAACAAAGTCTTCTTTTTAGCTCAGGTATTGTTATAGCCAGTCTGAGGGCATTTTGAATGGAGGTCCTGATTGTCTGACAAACACCAGCATAGCTCGAGTAGAAAAAAGTCCTTTCGGTGGGCATAATTAATTGGGATGATGGAAATAGCGAAAGGGCAAGTGAAAGTTTTAGGAAAGTTGCAATTAGACTGCTCTTATTGAAGATCTACCAATGGTCTCGAAATCGCCATAAAACCCGACACACATTTCTTTTACTTTTTGGAATCCGGTACCGTGTACATCGCAATCCGTCCTTTCAAAGAGGCAGACCAGAGTTGACTGTTGAGATTACTTCCATTTCAAGTAGAAGTGTTGGGTGAAGAGATTCGAAGGTCGGTTCCACCAGAAGACGGCCAATTCCTCTTGACCAGCTGTCGATTGGCTTTACTGAAAGATTAATGCCGACGCTGTTTCCGAGGCAATCTCCTTCGATTCCGGTGAACACGTGCTGAGCTTTCGTCCGTCATA